AATAATTGCCGTGAACACAGTCACTATTACCATTTTAAAATAATTACATACGCATAATCTTAAAACGGTAACAATATATAAAATAGTATACCTATCATATCTATTTCCAAAACTGAACATAATGTATATTTAGTTGAAAACTGGAATACCAAAATCCTTATCCTTCACCTGCAAGAGCAGGATCTAAAGCTTGATGATGAGAACTTCACTATTATCCACAAAGAAAAGATTATTAGCCTTGACTTTCTTGACTTGACTGAAAAAAAGTTTCATAGTTATGGGCTTGCAGGTGGACCAGCAATGAGACTCGCAAAAGAGGTAAATGCTCTTAAGATCTTATCAAAGTATTCTTTCTTCTCATACCACAGTTTGAAAGAAGTGTTGGTAAAATATGATATAGAATCCAAAGGCATAGATGCAATTCCACTATTCAGTTCACTGATTCCTCATAGTATTCAAGATGATGATGTGTATTTTGAAGAATATATCACAGAAATTAACAAAAGGCTAAGGGACTATGATATCTTATACCTGGATAGTTTAAAAGCTATGCATAATAAGTATATAGTTACGATACTCTATATTATTAGAAATGAAACAAAAAAAGAATTTAACATAAGGCCACAACAAGAAATTATCGGAGAAGAAAGTTCTGGACGTGTTAATTATGCAATTAAGATATAAGCTATAAATTTTACAAAAAATATACTAATAAAACTAGTTTTGCTAATACTTTATTATTCCAGAATTCTAAAGATCTTATTTGCATCATGAAGAACAAATAGCATAAAATTTCTATGGGCTTTGTGCAGAATATCAAACAGCTAGAAAGTTTATTTGAAACTAATAAGAGAAAATGCAAGCAGGATGAAGCATTTGATGATGACTTTGACTATCTCTATGATATTATAACCACAGGATAGAATTGGCACTTTCTATTATATAGTTCAGGTGAAATTGTACAGGCAAGTGAATCTACCTATATAATTAAATTTAACAAAAAGTTCTTGGATAAGGACTCGGAAAAATATCAGACTTTGTATAAGAATGTGAAAAAGATTTTGGAAATGATTATTGGATTATTAAAGGATAGGGTATGTGTTGAAAAATTGCCAGCAAATAAATAAATCAGAATAGAGAGATATTGAACCAAAAAATAGATCTCTAAATTTACATGTATTTTTTTTATTATATCAATAAAGATGATCAAGAAGTTCATTTTTATAATAGTAATAATTTTTTTGCCTGCTTGTACAAGATGTTATTTGGGATTATCACTCCAAGATGTGCAATTCCATATACTGATTTTGTAATTATCAAATATTTGAAGATAATAAAGTGAATTACTACATCACATTACTGCACTCTTGTGACTGTCATATCATGGAAAATTAAATATTAATATATTTTGCTATATATAATAAAACCATACTATTTTTTAATGAAATATACAAAGTAAAAATTATGAATTGCATGCATATAATAGTTAATTTCATCATCTTCATCTGCTCTATGTATCCTATCATAGATCTACATTTCTTTTTTCTATAAAAGTATATGCTATTTTTTTGAGTAGGATCATTGACTCTAGGATTATATAAGTCTAACATCTCTTTGAGACATATTTTTCTTATTTTCATTATAAGAGTATGGATCATTAAATTATTCATGTTGCCATTAATAAGGAGAGAAATATAATATAGTATTTTTATGATTCAGATCACTGAGCTATGAGACATGAAATAGTTAGCAGAATTTATCTTAATTTTTTTGATCATTGAACTATATTACAAGCATCTACCAATTTCTTTACCATTCATTTTCTTTCTCACACTTCTTACTATTCATGATATTATAAAAAAATTACAATTGAATAAAAAATATAGTTTTAAGAAAATATCTAGATTTATTATATAATAATATTATCTAGACAAGCTAATCAAGCAAGCATCCATAAAGATATGCAAGTCAGACTTGCAGAGCTTAAAAGAGTAGCATTGAACATAATACCCTATATACATTCTAATACTATTTTAACTTAATATCAAGAAGAGATTAGAAATCTCAAAAAGAAAACTAATTATCAATCAAAAATAAATTCCATTGATAAGTTAGCTGACTGGTTAGCTAGATCAGAAAAAGATTATAAGCCAAAAGAATTAGAACCAGTTCCTACTACATTTGATGAATGGGCAGATAAATATTTATAGTTAGAAAAAGAAGATCTGATTTGACATATAGATGGATCAATTACATAGTTCTCAAGACATATTTCAAAATTAACACCCCAGAAAAAGCTAAATAATCATGAAATAGAGTATTGGAAACTTTCTCCTAATGCCAATAAATCACATATTATATATGAATATACTAATAAAATTTGTAATCTGATGAATGATGATAAGAAATATATTATTGGAATCATTAATAGTTGGGAAATAAGTAGAATAGAAAGACAAATGCAATTTAATAATAATAATATACCTATAGGTTTAAAAGAGGAATAGGTTCCAGAAGAAAAATATGAATGAAAAATGGAGTCTCATGGATGGATACCATCATTTAATGAATATTCTAATAGGAAAATCAATATATATAAGCTTTTAATGATAGATCAGAGGGCATGGTTATCTTGGAAAGATGAAAATATAGATCTAAATAAAGATGGAAACTATTATTTAGAAGACTAACCATATGTACTGCATTACCAGTTTATGATACATCCATGTCGAGATTTATTTGGTCCAGATATTTATAAAGATGGAATAGTTTGGTAGCATACTCAATTACCAGTTTATGTTTATCATAATATGGCATTAGAAATTTGGTCATTTCTTTATTATGCTATAGAATATATACTCTTTACTAAAATCTGGAAATCAGATAGATCTGTAGATGAAGAGATCGCAGATAAGAGCTGGCATTTTGATAAGAAAAAAAAGGCTGGCAGTCTCACTAGAGAAGAAATCACTTCAGAATAACTTATAGGAATTGATCAATATCTATGGATAAAGACTTGTGAATATGTATCACATATTTATTATGAACTTTGACCAGTTCCAATATCACAAGGTCCACCAGGTCTATTCTACAATAATAATATAAACTGTATTATTACAGAATTGTAATGACAAATTAAGCAAGAAGGAATAAAGCAAGCTATAGGATTAACGCCAGCCTGTGAAAGTATTCTTGTTAAATTTAATGAAAAAGTTCTAAATCTGAATTGTACTTTGAATAACTTGCATGATTTTGAAAAGCCAGAGAAATCTGGAGGCATAGGAATGAAAATAGTCATTAAGGATTTCTTAGGAAATGAAATATGAGATAGTGATAAATATCTCAAATAACACAAACTAACTGTATTTTGTCATAACAACCATGCTTGAAAGAGTGGTATTTCTGAAATATCACAAGTATCTTCAGTCTGCTATATAGATTTAGAATGTGAAAGAACACTTGCTTCTACATGTATCAAAACTAAAGAAGGAAAGATTAATATCAATAATAAAAAAATTGCAGAAGCACTTATATCATTTGTTACCAGAAAACTCCCAAAAGCTACAAGAGTATGGATTATAGGTAAGAAAATTTTAACACATGAAGGTCATCTTTATCATAACTATCATGAATGGGAAAAATTAATTAAGACTTTCAAATATGAAAAATCATAATTTATACCTGAAGAACTTTTAAAATAGGGTCCAATAGATATTCATAGATGGATGGAAGAAAAATATTATTCTACAGTACCAATTCCTTCGCAAGAGCTTAAAGCAGAATATAATGAACTTGAAAAATTCCTGAAAGATGCACAATCTTACCAATTTCATTGCTGGCAAGAAAGAGAAGGTATTAAGTCCACACCTAGGAATGTTGTTGAAATTTGGCAACAATCTCAAGTAGAATCAATAGTATGAAATGTCCTAATAGATTCATCTCCTAAACACATTTATATTGATCTTTGTGGAGCATATCTTGATTGTGAAGATTCAGAATAGAGTGCATCAGAAGCATTATCTTGGGTAAGACAATATAGATTTCCAGAATGAATATAATAACATGCCTGTGTTAATAATATTAAAGCTATCCATTGCTTGACTGGCATTATTCAGCTAGTAGCATGGGAATTTGCCAAAAATCTTCATCTATTCACAGCAGGACTTATTAGACAACATCTTACAGAAAAGGAAGACTGGATTCCAATATCTCTTATAGATTACCTGCTTAGTATTGGATGGCTTATAAGTATAACTCCAAGAGAAATCATATATAGTGTAGGTAAAAAATTCTGCATTGAATTTCCACCTGATCATGATATAGCAGTTCATTTCATGAGATCGTGTGCTCATAATGCATAAGTTACATCTGTTTTAATTCAAGACAAAAATAAGACAGATATGATTCATCAATAGTTAGCAAGAAAAAAGTGTTAACCAAACCAAACAAGTAATGAGCATGGAACTCTAATAAAGTATGAGGAGGATAAAAAATATGCTCAATAGTTACATATCTGCTCTTTTATTCTTGCCTATACTCATATTGCTATACTTAAATAGCTGAAATACTTCCCAATTGAAAATGTATTGTGAGTATGTACTGATGTAATTTATATAACAACAATTTCTGAAACTATTTTAGATGAGAGTAAACTTAAGATTGATTTTGATAAAAAGCTCTTTGCTAATGCAAAAAATAATATAGAGTTAGAAGAGATTTAAAAAAGATACAATATGGAAGTAGATAAAATAAAAAAGCAATATGAATCTGTAATAGTTTTAGATACTCCAGAAATTAAGTATGGCTAGTGGTGCAAGAAAAAGCCAGATTATATCTATCACAAAGAAGCATCATCCTGGACCATTAATTATAAAGATATATTAGAGTTTCCTCCAAGTGAAGCATCACCTCTTTCTACTGATCCAAAATTAATTATATTGTGAAAATCCTACTTAGTCAGCCAGGAAGATAGTGAAAAAATGATATGAGCTATCCATATATTTTCCAATCAAAAAATTATGATTCTCACTCTGGTAAACTTGCTTGCTGAATATCATAGAAAGCAAAATTCAGACTTAATGATCATGATATATCATAAGTATTTCCATTTGGGAGCAACTGCAATCGATGAATGAGATCCTGCATGTCTTAGAAAAAAGATGCTTGCCAAAATATTAATTTTCAATGAAGCATGCATGATATCTAAAAAAGTATTACAGAGATTGTTATCTTATGCCAAAAGTCAAGGCTGTCAAATAATTATGTGTGGTGATCCAGGCCAACTTACACTATGGGGTGATAAAGAAGGTCTGCATAAATTTCTTACAGAATGGGCTGATGAAGTAATCTGGTATATGGAAGACTATCATGCACAAGATAATGAACTCAAGATATTAAAATTACATATGTGGATAAAAAATGATATTACTCAATTACTAAAATTTCATAAAACTATACCTAAAACAACATGGGAAAATGCTTTTGCTCAGTAGACTCCAAATGATATCTGGATTTGTTCTACAAATGATATGGGTATGCGAGTTGAAAGTGTATTATTACAAGTACATGTATCATACTTTCCCAATGAGTCTTCAGTTATTCATTTTGATCCAGATGATAATATTAAATATAAATATCATATTCAAGAAAAGCCTGTACAAATTCCAGATAGCATTGAAATTATAGAAGTATATATTGGTATTATAATAAACATGCCACTTGAAATTGTATTACATGGACTTCCTGCTAAATGGAAATATGCTAGCTAGGGAACAGTTTATCGAATTCAAGAATAAACAATTGAGATACCAGAATATTGCTTTATTGTAGATCATAGTCTGAGGGGTTGGATTAATAATACTGTATATATAGCTTATAGTCATGTATGATACATAAATCAATTAATCTGAGTTGTACCACCAAATAATATACTTGAATATATTGAGCTGACTGAACTTTAAGCAACTTCTTGTCCATAAATAATTGAAGCAAAATTAAGATATTACAAGTTGGATGACCACAAAAAGAACCAACATTTTCCAAGATCATTTATGATAGTCAAGAACTGGGAGATAGATAATAAATCAGATTTAATAGAAGATTCTATAATGTGTGAGAAGTCCCTCTTTCTAACAGAAAATGATGAGGAAAATGCTATTCTTTCACTTACAATAAAGAACATTATAGAAATTGCAATTCAGCAGGATAAATGTTGTAAAGTATGTCATGTTCTACTTCTATTTCAAGGCTATCCCAAGCATCATTTATAGTTATTTTCAGTTGATCAACTTGATGATGCTGAAGGACAGTATTGCCAAAATGTAAGAATTACTTGTCTTTATTATAATGAATGGTATCAGCGCTAAATTTTGTAGGAAGCAATTTTGATTGAGTAAATCTGTATTTTTGTCCTTTGATATAGTAAAGTGTAGGTTGTCCTGGTTCTTGGATTCATCTTATAATAGGAAAAATATTTTTTGACCAGTAATAATCTGTTACTCTTCTTTTTTGAAATGGAAAATAATTATTAGTAAATATATATCTTACCATTATACCTAATGGAAGTAAATCATTTTTAGGTGGAGCTGGCCAAGATTTTAGTGGAACTTTTTTAGAAGATGAGCATCTATAGGCTTCATATTAATGAGCTGAGTTTTTTCATTATTCATATCTATAATTGTTAGCCAAAATGGCTTTACCCAATCTTTATTAATACATTTAATAATCAATTCTTTTCTTTGCATTCTCTTGAACAAGTAACATTCAAGCTGATTATGAAATGAATTTACAAAGGCTAGAGATACATAATATTCTGGTTCAGCATGCTCAATTCATGTTCCATGGCTCTCAAATAATATTGTAACTTTACCCTTCATTTCAGTATCTTAACCTACTTTTAAAATAACTGGCCAATTAAGAAGAGAATTTGGATTATTATAAATATCTTCAAATGCCATAGTAATCTTACTACTTAATTTACATGTTAACACCTGACCATCCTTGTATCTTGATATGCAATCTATAATGCAAAGAGCATAATAACGTTTATGATTATTTGGCATTTCCATAATATCAGCTTGGTATAAATAATCTGGATATTGCTCAGTAAAATAGGTATATACTATACATGGTGGCTTGTGATATAATTCTCTAATCAATTAATTATTAATCCAGTTATGAACTCTTTCTAATGAAGCTAAATCTTTAGGTAATCTCTCCCATAATGTTCATGAATCAGGAAATATCGAATAATAAATTGGATGTAAAATTTTGTCAAGCTGTTTATCCAAAAGAGATGGTCAATTTTTAAATCATTTTAAAATATCAACAAAAGGAAAATTATAACCAGCTTTCTCACAAGCATCTTTCATTTTTTCAGGAGTTTGAAAAAATCCATTTGGTTAATAGTATAATTTTGATAATATTACCTCTCATTTGGCTTTCTCGGTCTTAGATATATCAATTTCTATAATTGGTTCTAATTTAGCTATACCACAAAATACCATGTTTAATATTAACAAAATAAAATGTTCCAAAGTCCCAGACCTAATTGTGAATTGCATATATCAAGTACTAATAGATAACTAGAGTTAGAGCAAGTCAATCAGATTTTAAAAGATGAATTATCTAATGAAGTTTCAATCAATAAAGCTAATGAGAAATTGATTAAGCAATTAGAACATGATCTTACTAATTGTGAAAGAGAGATTTCTCAAAAAGAATTTGCTATTGTAATATTTAATGAAGAAAATAATAAGCTTAAGTTTGAAATCTCATCTCTGAAAAAAGATTTTTACCAAGCCCAAAAAGAGATCCAAGATAATATTAATTATACTGCTGATATAAAAAACAAGTTACAAGAATGTTATAAGACTATATATAACTTAAAACAGAGAATTAAGATAATCAACTCACAAAAAAATTTACCTATCAGAGGAAACTCTCCTGATTCATATAGTTACTCAGAAAATCATGAAACAGATATGGCACATATAGATCTATTTGTAAATATTACAAGAGGGTTAAATTGGTTGGAAAATTATTTCAGAGGACATGGTACATCATTAAACAATCCAGCAAATATCATCCAAGGCATGTATGGTACTTTAAATACTATTTGGACTAATTATCAAAGAAAAGATCAGGATTTAGATGATATTATGAATCAACGTAATGATCAAGATACTCAAATAGTATAATTACAGCAGTATATTAATGGTTATAGATAGCAAAATATTACTTTGCAAAATCAAGTTAATCAGCTTACATTAGAGCATGACAATTCCCAGAATGATCTTATTTTAATGATTGTAGCTTATAATAATGAACAAGAGGAACATCATTGCTGGTAGGAGATTGCTCAAAAAATAGAAATGGAAATGTAATTATATGTTAATACTTTATTACTTGAGAAGTTGGTACTTAATTTTAAAGTTCAACAATATTTTTAACAATTACAAAGATATCATATACATAGAAGGAAATTATAACTTAGATTGAATACATATCAAGATGATTTATTTCTTAGTGATCTTCAATTGGATCTTAAATAAGATAAGTGGAAAAATTGGGCTCGAAATTCTGAGCAATTAATTTTAAATTTGAATCAACAAATTTTTGCGTTACAGAATAATAATCCAAATCAAAATAATATAGTAACTATGATAGAATATCCATCACCTATATTTAGCAGTATACCTGGAGAAAATTCTGAAGACTTTATCAGAGATTTAAAAAGATATATAATAACTAGTTGAATCAATGTAGTATTTAGAGCAGGACAGGCTGGCGGAAGAGCTGAATTGGATGATTTATATGAATCATGCTTAACTAATGATACATTAATCTGGTATACAAATGAATACAAAGACTGAAATTACTAACTTGATAATATTCTTGATAATACAGGAGTAGCAACTGTAACAGCATTCCAAGTATTAAATAATGGGGGATTAACTAGTATTAATACTAATCAATTTTGTGGGAAAGCTTTAGTAATTTGAAATAATGCTGGTGGAGATAATACAATTACAGGAGCTAATATAATTCCTGCAGAAGTTTGGGATAAAGATTGGTTAATTGCTGGTGGTCATCTCACTCCAGTTAAAATAGCAGTTATAACTTTAAATATTAATGGAGAAGGAAATACTAGTATTGTACTTCTGGGTATGACAATTAGACAAAAATTATATGAACTTTGATATAATTATATAATAACTAATATATTAAAACAATCTGCTTTGTTTAGTATAATTGTATAAGAAACTATATCAGTTCAACAATTTACATCAAAGTTATGAAATATTGGTAAACTTACTAGAATGACTTCTGCATAAATTTGTGAGTAATAATTAAGAGGATTAGCACTAATGAATCAATATACTCTTCATTTTAATGATATATTTTTCCAGATAATGGATGAGTAACTAAAAAATTTAACAGAGCTCGAAGCATATATACTTAGTCAAAGTAATGTATCTTAATAAGTAATATAGCAATCAGTTCCAGTTTATAATCAAGCTCCTGTAATACAACAATCAACTCTAGCAATATCATCACAACAAGTTCAATAAAAATCTATATCAATATTTTAATGTCAAAAAGCTATTGGAGTTGCTAAATTTACTATAAATGAGAATAGAAATCTAATATCTCAAGCCAGACTAAAAAAAATTGCACTCAAAGTACCACCAAAAGATACAGAAGAAATTCTTGCTTATAAATAATTAAAACTTATACAAGATGCTGATTATTCTGACTTTAATGAATTTTTCAAAGCTCGTGATAATTATTTTAAATCAAAAGTTCATTTATCTAATAAATTACAAGTTTTATCCAAGTCAAAAAGATTAACTATGACTTAGCAAAAATAAATTGATAACAAAAATGATAAAATACTAAGTAATATGGCTTCTAGATGGTCTCTCAATGATCCAGTATCAAATCTTGCTAAATATAATGAAGATGACTATGAATTTGAAGAAGACAATAACTGTAAATATGAAGAGAATAATTATTCTGAAGATTATAATAATTTAGATAACTATGAGAATAGTTATGAAAATAATTATGAAAATTTTGCTTATAATGCTAAAAGACCAGCATGATATACCTCCTATAAAAAAAGTAACACATAATTCTAAAGATACTTTTATCTCAAATCAAAGTTTAAATCTAGCTGTCTCTAGTTAAAATAATTCAGTATCATATCCAAAAATAAATAAGAAAGAACTTGCACAAGCTAGAATGATTAGATATCAAGCTATAGCTTCTTTGGTAAATAAAATAGTTATAAAAATGACAATACAAATATATATCACAGATCTTTTAAAAATAGTATCTCCTATTATGCATATTAAACTTTAAAAAGCTTTTATAAAAAAAGAAGATATCTTATTCAAACCTATACAGATAGCTAATCTTGTAAAATAAGAATTTAAAATATTACAAGCTACTATTACTTATGTATCTGGTTATATTGATGATATTAAATTTAATAATAATATTCTTGATACAGGATTAAATATTGATATGATCAATGATAAGTTTTTTAATTCTCTTGATTTTAATATTGATAAAAAGATATGATTTCAAGTAAAAAATGCTGATTCAAAAACTATTCCAATTGGTGAAAAGAAAGATATGCCAATTTCTATTGATGATATTACTAATCCAGATAACTTTTTAGTAATAAAAAATTTAGGATATCCTATAATACTTGAAATGTCTTGAATTAAGCAAGTTAAAAATATTATAGATATTAATAAAAATTAATTTCAAATAATTGTTAATAGAAAAACTTCTTATATATCAATTCAAACTGAGCATATTTGTAAATCTAAAGGATTATTACTTTGCAATAATTTAGCAATACAAGATTTTGAGTTAAAAAAAAATCAGTAGTTCATGATATATCAGATAGAACCTGTCACTTATGCTATAAATAATTTTGGTATTTATCAAATCTCAAATAACATTTCTTATGAAAAAAATTCATGTAAAGAAAAAATAGCTCATATAAAGAAAAATAAGATTATATAAAGTCTATGTGAAAAAAATAAAGCCATGTAAAGCTCATGCAAAATAAAAATTGATTAAAGTTTCTGTCTTCTCACAATAATTACTCAAAATCAGATATTATAGATTATCTTTTAGCTAAAAAGCTAGCATGATTAATTTATTATATATACTCTCTTTTTTCAAATATGTATATGAGAGGAAAAAGCTATGCTTCTCTATTTTTTCATTCTGAATAATCTTTTCCATCTTTTATCTCAAGATTATGAATGTAAATATATATACTTTCATCTTGAATCCAGCTTTTTATTATTTTAATACCTAATATAGAATTTTTGTGAGCTAAAACATTACTGATTTCTAGTATTCTTTATTTTGAAGTTTTAATAAATTTTAATCGTAATATATTAATTTCTTCTTTTAATCATGCATTAAATTTTTCCTTAATATAAGATCTGAATTTTGTATAATTATATCATTAGAGCTATGCATATTAGTAGGTAAAATTATCAATAATAAAGTAGGCTCTTTAAGTTATTTCTTTGTAATAGATGATGATTTTTTTCTATTGTGAGCTTTATATTTTTCATAAACTTTCAATATATTACGCAAATGATTTTTAATTTGATCATACTTTTCTATAATTTGATTTGATAAAATTAGATTACATTTTTGACTAAGTAATTGATTATATGCTCACTCTAATATACTTGATGGTAGCTTATTTGTAATTGGTTTATAGTTAATATAAAATATATTTGATAAAATTTATATAAAAAATTGAACAAAAAATTTTAATAAAATCTTTGAAAAATTCAAATTCATATTATAATAGAGAAATTTTTACAAATTTGGATAAATTATATAATTATTTTTGTGTTAAATATATTATATATTTATATAACTTTTATAATAACAATTGCAAGTGAAGATAATAAAAATATATTTATAATTGATTATAGTTCTGAAATCACCTACATTTTTCCTTTTTTTCTCATGTGATTCAATCATGAGAAGGCAGGATAAGCAATATGCTAGCAATAATAGATTTCAAAAACTCAAACTAGATAAGAAAGCTAAAATATTATCTAGATATATTTCAAAATGAAAAAAGATCAAATAGCTATATAATATATTTTTTTGTTTGAAGTATAGTTAACTTGTCATCCAATTTAAGATTTTGGAGATTTAAACTAGGTAAGAAATCTATAATATTTTCTTGATATTTAAAGGATGATTAAAGGTCAGATAATTATATAATATATTTTTTATATAAAAAAAATATGTCAAAAAATATAAACCAATCATTATCAAAATTAAGATTTCAGAGTCTCCAGCTAAACAAGAAAGCAATATAAATTTCTAGATATATTTCAAGACAAAAAAGGATCAAATATCAATACAATAACAAAAAAAAGTCAATATACTAGAAGACAAGCTAGAATTAGTTAAGGCATAAATATATCTTTAGTAGGAATCTCCCTCATCTCCTTCAGTATGTAATATTCTAAAAAGTAAATTAATATTAAAATAAATTCTACTAGATTTATATTCAATTTTAAAATTATATTCTTATAAAATTATTATTCAATATGTAAGTCTTTTAGGAGAATTTGACTTGTTAATTAATTACTTGAGTACTAAGTAATCTATAATTAATATAAATAGAATATCTGATAATAGATAAGATTTAAATAATTTAACTACTCAAATTACTCCAAGATATTCTAGTTCTGTTATAATATATTTGCTTTCTTTCTTACTAACTCTTCTATTAGTATAGATAATTATATATTTCTTTTTTTACTATTATATTATACTAGTATAGCTTCTAATTCTAGTCTAAAAATATTGGTAAAAAGAGTAAATAGCTTTGTAAAGTCTGAATATATAATAATTAATGATGAAATTAAATATTTTTTAAGTAATTCAAAAGCTTTTTATTACTTTTTGTTTATTTAAATTCTTTATTCTTTTTGAATAATTTATATAAAAAAACTACTATCTTGATAAAATTTTTAATAAATTTTCTATTATAAAAAACAAGTCTAATAAATTCTTTTAATAATATAATATTAGTAGATACTGAAAATTCTTGTATTTTTTTATCTTTGCTAGATTAGGATGAATTGTATCTTTTCTAATAATATAATCTAGAAAGAGTAGCTAGTTTTTCTTAAAAGTATATTTGTTTAATTAGAACTTTAGATTTGCTTATTAAAGCTTTTTCAAACCTTTTTATATATAGATCAAATATTTTTCTTAGATTTTGAAATATATAGTAATATCATTCAAGTATATAATTATGAATTTTCTGATATATTTCTTAAAGATTTTATTTATAAGTGTTTGAAAAGTAGTTAGAACATTTGTAAGCTTAAATAATATTATATTAAAGTAAAATAAATTCTTATTAATAATAAATATAATCTTCTTTCAGTTTCTTGAATATATTTTTACTTATTAAAATCTATTAATAAGATTTATTATGATAAAATATTTAGCATTTTTAAAGAAGTCTAATAGTTTATTAATTTATAATAAAGGGTATCAATCTTTTTTTATTATTTTATTTAACTTTCTGTAATTCATATATAATTAAAATTTCTTATTCTTTTTCTTTACTATTATAGATTGGTGCAAAAAGATTTGTATCTTAATATAAAAATTAATAATTACTTCTAATAAAAATCATTCAAATTTTAACTAATCTTTATAATTTTTTTATATTAAGTAAAAAATAATCTAAATTAACTTTTTATATTATTTTAATTATTCTATTATA